CTATATTAGTCTTTCTCAGCCTTTGTGCTTTTTCTAAAGGAAGAAACATAACTTTCTATGTTACCTTTATATCAGACGCTGCTATGCTAGGAAGATTGTCAGGACCCTTCTATTGTCATTCATGATGCGGTGTGTATACTTAAGTCACATGCTGGTTGTACAGCCATAACGCTATACGCTGCTTACACATTCTTTCCAAGCATGCATACTCAACCCACATCGCGTACACCTTTGGAGGTGTAGCAAGTAATTTTTGTGTCCTTTAAGTTTAGCTAAAACTTTTAAAAATGCCTTGTTATGCTAATAAAACCTCTGCAGCACTTGGACCATGTTTATGAAGTTATTTTTAATTGTGAAGAAAATGAGAACGATTTCTTTTATTCTCTTCTGACAGATACACCACGTGTCATTTGGATTCTATGTTCCTATTACTTGTACAGCCAGCCTTGGGTGAACATAGTGAAAGGATAGGCAGCAATCTAGGATGACATGAATTCAAGACGACAGTGAAAATTAAAGGTTTGGGTTTCTGACAGGCATCTTCTGAATCTTGCTGAAGTAATGTAAGATGTTACTGCCTCTGAAAGAGATGGTACCAACTCTTACCAACTGTTACTCTGCTCTAACTAGAGACTACCAGTTCCCTAGCAGACTAGCGGAACATTAGTCATAGAATTGCAGAACAGCCCAGGTTGGAATGGACCTCAAAAGATCATCAGGTCCAACCTTTAATGGGAAAGGGACCTAGAGGAGATTATCCAGCACCCTGTCCAATCGCATCTTGAAAACCTTCATCCATGGGGTCTCTGCCACGTCCCTGGGCAGGGTGTTCCAGTGACTGACTGTTCTCAAACAATCTCTTAACCGCATAGCGGCTTGTACCGGCACCTTCAGTGGTGAATAAAGTGCTATACTAGAGTGTGAATGGGGGTGGCAGAGAGATGAGCAAGGGTTCCCTCCTGCTGCTCTGATGGTGGCAGGAGGCTGGGTCAGATGGCTGTGAGCAGTGGTGTCTGAAACTGCTGACAGGCAGGTGCTGGGAGGGCCTGTGTCAGTGCCCTCAGAACCCTCTTCTATTAAGGTTGCAGTTTTTTCTCGTTTCAGGCAACAAAACTGCAGCCCATGTGTCATCCTTATTTTTAAAAAAGCTTCTACTATTCTACTATGTTTTAATTTTACATGTAGTTGTGGTGGTTTGACCCTGGCTGGATGCCAGGGGCCCACCAAAGCTGCTCTATCACTCCCCTCTAACCAGACAGAGGAGAGAAGGGTAAATCAAAGGGCTCATGGGTTGAGATAAGGACAGGGAGAAACCATTTTATCAGTTACCATCATGGGCAAAACAGACTCAACTTGAAAAAATAATTAATTTATTATCAATCAAAATCAGAGAAGGAGAGGAGAAAAACTGCTAGATCTTAAAAACCTTCCCCCCACCTCTCCCTTCTTTCTGGGCTCAACTTCACTCCCAGTTTCTCTACCTACTCCGCCCAGCGGCCCAGGGGGATGGGAATGGGGGTTGAGGTCAGTTCATCACACGTTGTCTCTTCCACTTCTTCATCCTAGGGGGAAGACTCTTCCCCTGCTCACACATGGGGTCCCTCTCACGGGAGACAGTCCTCCACGAACTTCTCCAACGTGAGTCCTTCCCACAGGCTACAGTTCTTCACAAACTGCTCCAGCATGGGCCCATAACTTCCACAGGGTGCAGTCCCTCAGGAGCAGACTGCTCCAGTGCTGGGTCCCTGCGGGGTCACAAGTTCTGCCGGCAAACTTGCTTTGGTGTGGGCTCCTCCCCCCACGGGTCTGCAATGGCTTGCCAGGAACCTGATCTGGCACAGGCTTCCCATGGAGTCACAGTCTCCTCCCTTTGGGCATCCACCCGTTCCGGTGTGGGGTCCTCCACGGGCTACAGGTGGATATCTGCTCCCCCATGGGCCTCCCTGGGCTGCAGGGTCACAGCCTGCCTCACCATGGTCTTCACCACAGGCTGCAGGGGAATCTTTGCTCCGGCAC